TTCCCATGTATCCCCCTATAGCCCCACGGTACCCAATGGGTGCTTAGGCCTTAGGCCTTCGTGGTAGTTGGAGTATAAAAAAAAACGTATGCATGTGATACACACATATTTTAGCCTCAAAGTCAAAATATGGTACCTGGAATTTCAACATTCGACAAACACAACACAAGAGTAGTGCAAAACTCGTAGTCATTGGCTGCAATCAATACGTAAGTATTCACCGTATTGTTACAAAGCGCATTCACCTGGTACAAAAGTATGCTGGTAAGAATAGAAGAATGCAAGAGGGAGGATGGCAGACATCCGTGGTGTGGTACAATTAATTCTATCAGCGAGTGTCTGTTTCCAGAAAGAGCTTTTCTGTGGTTTCTTATGCACTTTTCCAGCGCAGAACGGGCACCGTCGTCGGAACGGCGCTCTTGGGAAAATTGCTACAATCGCATCTCTGCCGCTTCCCGCCTGGCAAGCTGCGCGAAGCGGCGCGACTCACAGGGCTTTATTCAATTTAATGGATTTCTAGGTTTAAAGCCACCCGCCGCCATGCCATGCTAACACCAGTGGCGGATAAAAATCAAGAAACTTTCTGAAGATTTAAGTATTAACCCCCTTAACAGGAGGTGAGGGGTAAAGGAAAAATCTGCAAATCATGCTGTCTTCGATTGTCCTGCTCTGAGAGGTAGATGGACGACCATCCTGATAAGTCAAGAGAGAGAGGGCATACACCAAATGATAGGCAAGTTCGCCAAGAGCTTGGAAAAAGCTGTCCCGGATAAAAAAAGAAGGTACTCTGTAGACAGGTCATTTTGACTATACCTTTTTAACATCCTTTAAAACTACAGCTTTACTGACCAGTTTACATGTGCAATGATGATATTATAGAGTTTTACCACTTGCCAAACCGATCTTTTGGTACCCATCACACATTTCGCTGTGAGCATTTTCAGGAGGAGGTTAAAATAGGTTTAGGGTGAATTTCACCGAAAGACTCAGCATTATTTTACACCAATAGGGTTGCTGCATAGAAGAAAGAGCCCGTTTAATATACCGGATGAGCTCCAAGATCTCTCCGTCAGATTTCTGGCAACTAATAGAAGTGAAGTATTGAAAACAAAACACTGTTAAAATGTAACATAATAGGTTGTCGTTGAAATATCACCAGATTAATTAATCTTCTAATCTGCTCAGTATGCTCCCAGCTTACATTCATCAAGCACTCCACCCCACTCTTTTCTAGGTTGTGGTATCTTAGACTTTTGTAGGTTTTGAACTCGCGATGGTTCGACAGATCATATCGTCGCGTCGGTCTCCGCACGTAAAGGCGTAAATGATAAAAAGAAATAAAATCGAGTTATGCCGTAATTTCACATATTTTTTTGTAGTCTCTCACCTCACGAAGTAACGTAACTGTGTACAGTTCGTTGCTTGTAAATAAAATAATATTTTTTTTAAAACTCATTTCACTTTCACAAAATTAAACCATCCCAAAACAAAGTTCTACATAATTTTAATCTAATAAAAAAGCAGCAACGTGCAGAATGAAAAATCAGTATGTCATTTTCAATCTTATTTATTGGTGATTTTCGTTTTCTAGCTCTCCTGTCAAATTTGTAAAATGTTAGTTACGCCGGTATTTGCGGAGACCGACGATATGACTGTATGACTTGTGGATTCAAAAACTATTCAGACCAAAGAAGTCGGAAGAGTTACAACTGAAACACCCACATCCGTTTCAAAATTTAAACCATCTTATCTTGGCCATGTACTGAGTGACGAGTTTAGTCCTAAATGTAGGTTCTTTTCAGTAGTTGCTGCGACTGAAGAGATATAGTGGATACCAAATAAAATCCGATGCACGTCATAGGTGCTGTCATTCATAAAAATCATGGTTACCAACAGTTGACTACATTCAATGTGACATTTCTACTTGAAGTTTAAATTTCCCCGTCTCGATTCGGTTGGTAGTGCCGTGCAGAGAAATGTGAGGTTGCCACTTCTCATTTGTTGACATCAGTTGCCATTGTCCTTTTGTCGTACTATTAGTTCTTTATTGTTTAGTTTGTGAGTTTTGCGCTATTTGAGCTTTGAATCGTTGCCTTGCCAATTAAAAATTGTTCTTTTCAGAACAACAGTTACTGTGAAGTGGTGTAAAGTATCCAAAATGCCAAAACAACTTAACAGTCGGTGTAAAGAGCTCATATCATGCTTATTAGAATACTTCGAACGGGAAAGGGATAATAATGGCCCACATTTGCCTTTAACTGCTGTAAGGGAGGTGAGTTTACGCTTGTTGATAGCATAAGTAATAGGAACATTAAGGTTAATCTTCTTTTTCTTATTTTTAGCGTGTAGCAGCAGCATTGAAATTAAATGTGTCTACTATAAGTGGTATTTCACAGGCAGTCAAAAATAAAGAAGTTTTACAATCGCCTCCTAAAAAACGATGTACTCCAAAGAGAGTCACTAATATTTCAAGGCTCAATACAAGTGGTATTCGTAATACTATTTACAACATGTATGAAAACAGTAAGTTGCCCAACAAACATATTTTGAATTAGAGAATGTAACGTATAATTGTTTTTTTGTAGAACACGTAACACTGTCTGGCTTGTGGGAGCAATTAAAAGCTAAGCAATTATTTGAGGGCAGTCGTATGTCGTTAAGCAGACTATTAGAAGAAATAGGCTTCAAATGGGAGAAAGATAACCCCAAACGAGGGCTTATGGAACTTCCCAATATTGCATCTAAACGTGTTAGTTTTTTGAGATCATACGTGCAAAATAAACAAGAGGCTATTTATCAGTTTGTCTTCTTAGATGAGACTTGGATTTTCCAAAATGGCACCGTTCACCGTTCATGGCAAGATAATGACAAGCGAAGTGTTAGGAGTACCAAAGTTGATGGAAAAAGGTGGGCTTTCAAATGTATAGAAAAATAAGCTCTATATAAAAATGAAATCCATTTGTAGGTATATCATAGTTCACGCTGGCAATGAAAATGGATTTGTTGAAGGTGCGTCGCTCATATTTTCATCGAAAACCCAGCTTAATGATTACCATGGTGAAATGAACCAGCAAAACTTTTTATATTGGTTTGAAAATCAATTACTAATAAGCTTGACCCAACCCTCTGTGATTGTTATGGATAATGCATCATACCATAGCATGTTATTAGTAAAAACTCCCAATAGCTCATGGAGGAAGGCTGAAATTCAGAATTGGTTAACTGAACAAAAAATACAGTATCCACATGAAGCATTCAAATCTGAACTTCTAACGATTGTTGCACAGTGAGCAGAATACCCAATCTTTATGCATTTTGTTCCTATTTATTTTTTTTTGTTTTAGGAATAAACCAACCAAAATGTATGTGGTCGATAACTTGGCAGAACAATATGGACATAAAGTTTTACGGTTACCTCCATACCACTGTATTTTTAACCCAATTGAGCTAATTTGGGGGATTGCAAAAAATTACTATAATCGGCATATTGGAAGAGATGGCCACACTGAAAATGACTGCCTAAAAATGTGGCAAGAGGCACTCCAAACTATTACCCCTGATATGTGGAAGAACTCCATTAGACATACAGAGGAGATAATTATGAAATGGTATAGAAGGGAACAAGTAATGGATAGACAGGAAATTCTTCCCCTTATTATCCATGTTAACGATGACTCTACTGATTCCAGTGATTCAGAATAGTTAAAACATCAAAATATATTCTGTATAATGTAATCAAACTCCGGAATTGATAAACAACTGAACCATACCATGCGGTTAATATCAGGCTCGATAAAGAGTACTCCTTGCCGCTAGTTGCCGGTATTGTGTAACATCGCATCACCCGAGTTCTTTCTTCTCTTTGATGTGAATTGAAAAAGTGTTGTAGTTCCCATATCATAAATAAATAATCAAATTAATTAAAATACGAAAAAACAATTTATGTTCTTTAAATATTTTGTGTTTTTGAATATCTACCAAATCAGGTGTTTTTATTCAGAAAGGAATTTAATTTTACAACAAGTTTATTTATTTTTAATATAATGGTATTATAGTAAATGGTAGGTATATATAAACAATTTATTTTATTAAATTTATTTGCTTAAAAGAAAATGTGCAAATTCTGGCAACAGCGCACAGCTCCAGATCGATGACGTGCATCGGGTTTTATTTGGTATCCACTATATGTCTTTGGTTATCGGAACTCCAGGAAGCCTAACAAAAGACTTTTCCTGGTAAAGCTTGTACTTCTACATTGCAGTATTTAGAAGCACTGGACCGCGTCAAATCATTGCGCAACTAGACAGTGATGACCTGCAGGCTTTGCATCAGAAAGGAAATCACTAATAGCTTTTGTCTCTACAGCCCATCCGCAGAAGAACTTCTTCTAGTTCTATTATGTGTGCCATTGGTTTTGAAGTTTTGCTAATGAAATTTTTCTCGAATCTCGCATTGGACATACGTCCCATGAAAATGAAGAAGCTGATGTTCTTGAACGACTTTAGACGTGGGATTCTTGTCACTGAGCTGTCACTTTTGTCAGTTAATTCTGATTTTGAACAAGGCGTTGGAAAAAGAGATTGAAAAGGAGGATAATAGTTAGCGTAGCAGATTATTGGCGTTCGTAGTGGAAGGAATAAAAAACAGTACTACAGCAGTGCGCAGAAAGTAGTACTAATGATCTGATAACAGTCAATAGAGAACTACTTGGACGTATAAAATTAAGCAGATAACTACTCATTTGTTTTCAACACGCTTATATTAGTTTGTGCTGTATGTACCACATAGTATGTAACGGATTCTTTGACAATTTTCACCAATTTCCAGAAATTTGATTAATTTGAAACTTCGCACACGTATCAAGGACCGATGACAATGCAATAATTTGATAACAGTTTTCAATTATCCTCATTCATAAAATTCAAAATTCTGTAAAAAGCAGATATGTTAATAACAAGCCACGGATTTCAAATGCCACCTTACAAATAGCAAAACTACAAACCTCTGTAGCTCTGTGGCAGAGCGTTGGTCTTGCAAACCAGAGATCGTAATTTCAATCCCCACAGGAGGCAGATTGTGGTATACATACCTTTTCTTTAACACGCTTTTATTATAATTTTAACCAATTCCCTGAAGTTTGATTAATTTGAAACTTTGCGCGAGTATGAAGGACCGATGACAACGCAATAATTAGATAACAGTTATCTATTAGGGCCGCTAGGATTGATAAATTATTTTATAGATCCTCTGTAGGGGAGTAAGAGAGATAGAGCTGGTGCGCAATCTGCGCATGCGTGCATTTTCGGACTTATTCTTTGTTGGTTCGGGCACTCGGCACAGCACAACAGACGCAGACACTTTTTCAATGTAGTGCATTCTCACCTTGTTCATTGCGAATGTTGCCATTATTCCTGAATCGGCCTTCGACCGTCCCCAAGATGCAAGGTTGTACAGTCGATCATGCAGTCATTCATCTAGGCTCGCGACTGTTTGCTGCTGGTCAAGCTTATGTAGCACTTAGTCGCGTAAGATGTTTAGAAGATATCTGGATTAAAGAACTTGATTGTTCCAAGTTAACAGGAAAAACCCCATGCAAGAGTGAAGCTTTAAATAAAATAATAAGATTACGAAATTATTCGTAAGACATTTCATTACCACATGTCCACAAGAAACTAATTAATAAATCGAACTAAAAAATGAAAAATAAATAATAGTATAAAAAACTAAAAACACGCTTTTATAGCTTACCAAACTAAAAAGTAGAAAATAATTTTTAATTACAAGAGTTTATATTACAGTAGTAGATGGTCAAACAATCAATCATAATTAATGACCTGAAAAAAAATTATAATACAATTTGAGTTATTAACATAATAATCAAATTCAGAGTAAAAAGTGTGGGGTGCTTGATATATTAAATGTTATCGATTTTATAATTCTCAAAAAGTATATTTCTGATTTACGGTTGTTGTCTATTGTGGTTGAAAAACAGTTTTTGATATTTTACCTTAATAAGAGATTGCTAGGTGTGGCGAACTCACGACCCGCAGGATTCATCAAGCGCTTTCAAAATGTTTTTATTTTAAAATGACCAAAGTCTGGTATGGGGATAGATAGTTTCATATGCGGCCTGCTATGATGCATTTTCAATGTATGTTAGACGCGTAAGACCACCTCTCACATATGCATTAACTTAGGACATCAGATAGTTATGTTGCTACCCATTCATAAAGATATATTTTGTGTCCGTTGCATGAAAGTATTTTGTCGTTACTACCATCGCTCATTTCAGACAGTAAAAAAGAAAGGCACAATAACAGCAATCCCTTTATTATCTATAAATTTGCCCACATTCTAAGTTTTGAAATACTAAAGGATAACATCAAGTAGATTTTCTTCGATCTTTTCACGCTTTATTGTAAAATGCAATTGCTGATTCCAGAAATAACAAAACGTTTAGCTTTCTGACATGTTGATGGCACAAAAACAGGCTAAGCGCTACAAGTTACGCGTATCTTGGAGATATTTTTTTTAGACAATTTATGCTTGGAAAATTATAAAAAAAAATCTTGATAGTATCATTCATTCATGACTTTAACTTCGCGAGAATTTGTAGCATGAAAATGTCAAATGAGCATTGAAGAAAGCGTTTAGATATCTGGCGTGCGATATTGACATTCGAAAACACCCTCTCTGAAATTTTAGTATGTTTGTGAAAGTGATATCATCTATCTCAGCCAAATCCAGGCGTTTTGCGTTAAATCCGAACCACTACTATATATCTGACAACATATGCTTTATGTCACTCGCTATTCTAAAAGCTGTCTTGCTATATTATTAATACTATACATAAATAATGCAATCACATAATCTTAGATTAGCTACGGTCTATGGGGATTACAGAAGACATCTAAATATTACAAACCTAATCATTCCAGGGCGTTGCCAACAGCCAGATATAGTTCCCTAACAAATCTTATCCCGTCAATATTATGTACGCCCGCCTTTGGGAAACCAGGGTGTTTCAGCCACGTATTGACGATAGACAAGTTGACGGGGAGTCATGAATATTAAGTGGATGCACACTAAACCGTTTCCAGAAATAAATCCGCTATCTCCGAGTGCATGGCAGATGAAGTCATATAATACATAATTACGGAAAATAATGTCACGAATTTGAACATTTATAGCTTTTCGCTAACTGCTCATACTCGAAATCTATTATGTGAAAGCAAATCGTAGATGATGACGCTTGGTTTTGATTGAAGTTCATCAGTAGGGTTTAGGTTTCGGATAAGTAATGAGTCACATGCTAGTGCTACTGGTCAAAACTTCTTTATTCTCAGGACATAACATCAAACGCGATTGCTATTATACCACATTGCTCAAAAGTGCAAATATGTCTCGTTTGGGTCAGTCAGATTCTCCTTGCACTATTAAATATAACTATGTACTCGATCAATAATTCCTCCAGAAGCTTGACGTTAAAACCTCGCTTTATACATAGTACATACCACTTGAATATGTACATATTAAAACTGCGTTTGCATAGCGTATGAGACATGGGAGGTGCATAAGCATAATACCCTTCAGTTGCATGTGTCTCCTCCTCCTCCAGACTTGCACCCTTGTCACCCTGTAACGTTGTAAATGATGCGTAAATAAATTACTCTCTAGCCGGCCTCCTATCCAGAATGAAAATGCCTCTTGTCACTGGAGGGCATATGCAACTAACCAGTGGCGTAGCGTCCGGCACCAACGTAATTTGTCACCGAACCTCTGGATTAGCAAAATACCCCAAACCATCATATATTTTTTATCTGTATGATCTCATTCAAGCATGCACATTATCTCATAAATATAGATGATCAAAAATTCTAGCTGTAAAACAAAGCACTGAAGTTGTATTTGAAACAACGAAAAAGCTGATCTTATGCATGAATCTTTCGTGGCACAAAATTATCACGAAATTGGTCGCGTGATCATCACCAATAGGATGAAAGTGATATATTATTTATGGAGCAGCTCAAATAACTTGTTGCCTGCTGGCCGACCTATGAAAGGGGTAATGTTCGGAATACTATTCATGAAAAAATAGGTTAAATTCCAAATAATAATAATTTATTTTTTTAGACAAAGTTTGTCAAAGAATCGTCCAAAGGGCGGCTATATACAGAGACATAACAAAACGATAAGTAAAACAAGATAAATAACATTTACACACTGATAAACTCACAGACATTATACAAACATTTATGTACTAACGAACCTTGGAAACAATACTTAAAGTGATTTTTATTTGCTATTGCTTGTATATCTTTTGGAAGGATCTTAAAGATTTTGGGACCAAGTAGATACATTTGGCGATTTATTTTCGAATTTGAATTTAGAAAAGTTGGGGTGTATATTATTACTCTACCTAGTGGCAACTGTGCGTATGTCTTTGTTGAGTGTAAATTTGGTCTTGTTCTGGAACACGTACATATATATACCAACTCGTGAATCGCTAGAGTAGGTGGTTACGATTTTAATTTTTTTAGAAAATTCTTTACAACTGTGGTTGCTACTTACCCGCGTCATTGATCTAACAATTCGCTTTTCAGCAATAAAAACTGTTATGCACAGCAGCCTCAGAAACAAATACGATATCTGAGTCTAGACTTCTCGAGACCGCAGTATATTTCTACCAGCTGACTTTTAAAGAAGCAAACGTTCTCTAACAAATAAGAGTAAGAGAGAGAGAGAGAGGGAGAGAGAGTGAGAGGGAGAGAAAGAGGGAGAAAGAGAGAGAGAGGGAGAGAGAGGGAGGGAGAGAGAGGGAGGGAGAGAGAGGGAGGGAGAGAGAGGGAGGGAGAGAGAGGGAGGGAGAGAGAGGGAGGGAGAGAGAGGGAGGGAGAGAGAAGGAGGAGAGAGAGGGAGGGAGAGAGAGGGAGTGAGAGAGAGGGAGGGAGAGAGAGGGAGGGAGAGAGAGGGAGGGAGAGAGAGGGAGGGAGAGAGAGGGAGGGAGAGAGAGGGAGGGAGAGAGAGGGAGAGAGAGAAGTTGGGATACCAGGTAGTCGCAATGAACTCTGAAATATCGCCTATAAATATTCACAGAAACTTAGTATCAGCTGTGAAGTTCAATCATGCATTTTCATGTTTAAAGTCAGGGATATTTATCTTCTTTTGTGGGTTAGGAAACTCAATTAAATTGGTCTTGTCAGTATTCACAACCAACTGATGTTTGAAAACCCAATCACTGATCTTTGAAATTACCTCATTGCATCTATCATTTAGGACATTTTCTAATTTGCTAGAGACCAATATTGATGCATCATCTGCATATGGTGCCAACAGCGCATCCTCACACGCTGATTCAATCTCATTGATATAGAGACTGAACAAAATAGGCCTTAAGGTATAACTTTGAGGATCCCCAGTATCGACAGTGACTTCTCTGGATTGGACTCGATTGAAACATTTTCCCATCTTTAAGTAGTAGAGAAACATATTGTTTCCTATCAACAATGTATGAGTTAAGCCACCAGATGCAGAGAGCCTTGCACTAGAATGTTGTGGTTGCCACAAAGGCCTGGCTCAAGTCGCAAAATACCCCAACGGAAAACTCATCTGCTTCAATAAATGAAATCTTGAAACTTCAGCGGTTAACGAACTAGGTATGATAACGGAGAAGGGAAAACCTGTTTCTGGAGCATCCATTTCTCTAGTATCTGCTTTTTTATCTCGTTGCTGTAGCAGCGAGAGCAGCAACAACGCTAACGTGTCTCCAGTTCATATGTTTGGACCTTCACGCTTCCTCTCTTTTGCTTCCTGAGAGAAGCAGAAGAAAGGTAAGCGAAGACACGCCCATTGACTGCCTCGGAAGTGCACATCTGGCTGCAATTCTTAAGGTCGCCAATAGGTTTATGACAACTTGTACTCTAACGAATAAAAGGTGTAGAACCCTTCTTAGGAACCGTTTACATTATTTTGCAATTGCCCTAAGAAAACGGTCTTTGAATAATTTCGCAGAACACTTCACTTTGACGTCCAGCTACATGCTTTCAAAGTCGATATCATATTCCAAGGTCGT